TATGGAATTGTGTGGGAGTAACAGATATGGGATTGTGTGAGAATAAAAACATATGGGATTGTAAAGGATTTACCAATATGGAACTTGGTGGGAACAACTAATACAAGATTGCGATGCAGTAAATAATATTGGAGTAAATAGTTTGTAATATATAAGTTTGATACGTTGTAGTTTTTATAAGCGGTATTGGTGATCACAGGGGCCTGATAATTCATTAGAGTTAAATAATGTTTGGATCTAAACTGTTGTGTCAATGTTTATTTTAGACGCTTTAGGAGTTCAAAACAAATTTCGGTAAAAATGCCACCCTGACGATGGTATGGAGGAAAAAAAATCGTGTTTGCGGAAAGAGAGTACATCCTACGTAGATATGTGATAAAGAACCATTAGTCATACTTCCAACTGTACCAGATATTGTTTCCTGTATACATAAACTAGAAATGTTATTTTAAATGCCAGGAATTATGTGGGTTTATTTTCACGTCGAGAACTTTCTTCCCTTCTCGATTATACTATCATTGGGATGACTTTTTTTCTGAAAATTGACCCGAACCCAAAAACGTCTAATACTACCATGAACACACTGGTTTAAGTCCAAACATGGCTAAACGTAATGATTTTTTTCTTTTTTAAATCTCAAGTCCCTGTGTTGGAAGCCTAGGTACAGGATGAGAAAAAGTACAGGTTATGAACGGCGTTTATAACTATAGTTATTTAAACATATCGACTTGTATTTAACTTTGATTAATCTTAGACTAAGTAGTTGTTTACGTATGTTTAAATACCAAACACCATTGATTACACTTCTCATTACAGTTACAATACGTGGACGCTTAGTTAGTAAGAGGATTGAGCACATCGTAATTATGTTTGTTAAAATCCACTGACCAGTCTGCACACTTTTTTATAATGAAAGCCGTCGCTTTATCCTCGTATATCAAATCCTTTAGTTTTGACCGGTATCCATTTCTACCGCGGTTATTCAGCTTAATGCTACGTTCCATCAACATTTCAAATCAATTCATTTTTTGATCACATACTTATAGAAATAAAGGACTTTATTTATATATTAAGCATCAGTGATCGTTTTAAATATCGGGTGTGCGTGTTTTATTTACAGTTTTAATAATTATGGAAAAATTGTAAAATTAGATATTTATCTCAATGAATAAGTAAGCTGACTTAGCTTGACAAAACAGTGCCTACAAGTCAGGTCTAAGCGATTCACACTTAATCGTTCCGATAACACAATCAAATACCATTGTCACCCTAGGTGGGATTATTTTAGGTAAGTATTTAATGTCCATTTAACCTGCTGGCCCAACATTTCAATGTATGAGTGACCTAAATGTCTACACATTTAAATCAGAACCAAGGCCATTCGGTGTCAGTGTAATGTTTATTTGTTTGACACTGCAGGTGAGAATCAAACAGGTGTTCTGTGTTTAACGTGTCGGTCACTATAATACTTCAAATTGATATATCGCATGATATATTTAACAACAGGAATGTTGTTAATTTTGATAAAAAATAGCAAGTCAGTATGAAGTATTCGACATGCAATATTCTGTGTTTGTATCCAGTAGGAGAGTACGGCAGTACATGTACTCGGTGGTAGACATCAGCTTGACGTTGACCGGTCTTGAAAGTATCATGGGTGTTGTCAGTATAGGGTATAATAGTATGGGAGTTGTCAGTATAGGGTATAATAGTATGGGAGTTGTCAGTATATGATATAACAGTATGGGAGTTGTCAGTATAGGGTATAATAGTATGGGAGCTGTCAGTATAGGGTATAATAGTATGGGAGTTGTCAGTATAGGGTATAATAGTATGGGAGTTGTCAGTATAGGGTTTAACAGTATGGGAATTGTTAGTACGTAATATAACAGTATGGGAGTTGTCAGTATATGATATAACAGTATGGGAGTTGTCAGTACCTGTAATCGGTGGTAGACATCAGCTTGATGTAACCGGTCTTGAAAGTATCATGGGTGTTGTCAGTATAGGGTATAATAGTATGGGAGTTGTCAGTATCAAATATAACAAAACATTTCCATTCTTGATGTTTGTTCTGTACATGAATCTACCAACTGAAAACATCTGCCATTAGACTATGAATTCATTATGAATACAACGACTCTCGTGCAACCAGTCAGCTCCTTTATATAGTTGTCAGTATAGAATATAACCGTATCGGGAGTTGTCAGTATAGGAAATAACAAAATCAGAGATGTCAGTATATGATAAAACAGTATGGGAGTTGTCAGTATAGGAAATACCAGCATGGAGGTTGTCAGTATAGGATATAACAGTATGGGAGTTGTCAGTATAGGATATAACCGTATCGGGAGTTGTTAATATAGGGTTTAACAGTATGGGAGTTGTCAGTATAGGAAATAACAAAATCAGAGATGTCAGTATAGGATAAAACAGTATGGGAGTTGTCAGTATAGGAAATAACAGTATGGAGGTTGTCAGTATAGGATATAACAGTATGGGAGTTGTCAGTATAGGATATAACAGTATGAGGGTTGTCAGTATAGGAAATAACAGTATGAGGGTTGTCAGTATAGGGAATAACAAAATCAGAGATGTCAGTTTAGGATATAACCCTATGGGAATTGTAAGTATAGGATATAACAGTATGGGAGTTATCAGTATAGGATATAACAGTATGGGAGTTATTAGTATAGGATATAACAAAATTAGAGATGTCAGTATAGGATATAACAGTATGGGAAATGTCAGTATAGGAAATAACAGTTTGGGAGTTTTCAGTATATGGTTTAACAGTATGGGAGTTGTCAGTATAGGATATAACAGTATGGGAGTTGTCAGTATAGGATATAACAGTATGAGGGTTGTCAGTATAGGAAATAACAGTATGAGGGTTGTCAGTATAGGGAATAACAAAATCAGAGATGTCAGTTTAGGATATAACCCTATGGGAGTTATCAGTATAGGATATAACAGTATGGGAGTTGTCAGTATAGGGAATAACAATATCGGAGTTGTCAGTATAGGAAATAACAGTATGAGGGTTGTCAGTATAGGAAAAAACAATAACGGAGTTGTCAGTATAGGAACTAACACTATGTGGGTTGTCAGTATAGGATATAACAGTATGGGAGTTGTCAGTATAATATATAACAGTATGGGAGTTGTCAGTATAGGAAATGACAGTATGGGGGTTGTCAGTATAGAAAATAACAGTATTGGAGTTGTCAGCATAGGAAATAACAGTTTTTGAGTTTTCAGTATAGGAAATAACAGTATAAGATATGTCAGTATAGGATATTATAAAAGTTGTCAGTATAGGTCATAACAGTAATGGAGTTGTCAGTATATGATATAACAGTATGGGAGTTGTCAGTATAGGATTTAACAGTATGTGAGTTGTCAGTATAGGGTATAACAGGATGGGAGTTGTCAGTATAGAAAATAGCAGTATCAGATGTCAGTATAGGAAATTACTGTACTTGTATAGGATTTAACAATAATATTTTTTGTTATCCAAGCATTTGTCTGTAGAATGTATGGAACTTCTGAATTCTATACTGAAAAAATGACCTAAAAAACACAAAAAAGAACATTTGTTGTACGTGACCATACTAATTGATTTTTTTTTTTATCAATTCAAATTTCAAGTTGATTGATTTCCTCAGATATATTATAAATTACGCGATTAATAGTGAACGACTGTCGTGAACCTGTATGACATAACTTTAAGCAGATTCCCGTTACTCGACAGACTACGTACCGTAAACAATGGTTGAGACACACAGGAGTTGCTTCCCTTTGAGTCGTTACCCCAACACTTATTAATACTGAACTTATTTTTTCTGATATCACCAAAGGTAAGCGTTCCAATAGCTGGAAGATTCTGTACGGTTTTCGCATTAACCATTAATGTGAAAAAAAAAGAAATAATAATAAATGAACAAACACTAAATAAATCATTTTCTTTTTAATTTACATGTACTTGTTTACCATTTATCGTGGTATATCGAAGTTGTTGAATCACCTAACTGGGAAAATAAAAAAAAAGTAGACACTCCCACGATAACGACCCTATTTATAGTGCATAGATACATTGGTATACAGTACATTAATATAACTAATCAGGTATACATATATAAAAGCTCTGTAAGCTCTGCCTAAATAACACTGAATACATTAAACAGTATCAATCGTCCTATAGACTGTTTCTAAATAGCAGTTAACTCATCATAGATACATTCAGTATAACTCGGTATTAAGGTTTAACAAGCTCCCTTTGTAAAATTGCTACGTTTGCAACACCATTGCTCATCCCTGTACGATTTCTCACCCAGGTGAAAATCATGTAAAACATATGGATATTGATCTCTCTCTCTCTCTCTCTCTCTCTCTCTCTCTCTCTCTCTCTCTTACTTAAATGCATTTTCTTTTTAAATGAATTATCTCTTCGAGACAAGTTTAAGGTAAAGCATCACTGCATCATGATAAGTTATAATTGAAAAGAGCTGGTTAATCTCCATGAGTATGCTCCCATATATAACACATATAGCAACAAATAGCACATACAGTAGTTTATGAAGTATATCACGATCATCCAAAATCGGCATCAGTGTATTTAAGTGCTAATTGCCAATATGTACTAATACAATCTATCACCAAGGTAACAAATCGTGTTATGTGTGAGAAATCGTGTAATGTGTGAGAAATCGTGTAATGTGTGAGAAATCGTGTTATGTGTGAGAAATCGTGTAATGTGTGAGAAATCGTGTTATGTGTGAGAAATCGTGTAATGTGTGAGAAATCGTGTTATGAACGCATCAGTTTAACATGATTTCTCACTGCCAGGATGTGAAATCGTGCTAAAGGATGAGAACTTGAAGCGTGAACGTAACAGGAGGAGTTTAATCACGTCGATACCTACTAATGATAAGGTATATACAATGTGTATGTATTGATGGAAATAAACTGTTACACAGCGCGTTTGTTTCTGTCCGTAGACACAGCTGACAGGGTGGGGAGGCTGATGCGGACATAGGACAGACATGTCCATACCGGACGCATGGACGGCGGACAGGGTCGACTTTAATGGCAAGGCCAGGGTCGTAAAACTTGTGAGTATTGTCGAGCTTTCATTTTCAAATTTACACGCGCCAATTGAGTGTGATAATGTAATATATGACAGCTATAAATCGATTATCTGGCATTAAGGAATTAACCATTGTTTCGTTTTAAGGGATACATTTGATCGCAGATAAACTACACTGTTGATTAATACTTTTTAAAAACAATACAACACGTCATATGTTTCTTTTATACCGCCATGTAGCTTTTCAAACTTGGTCAGTAACACCGACATTATTTTGATTCACAATCATAGTTCATAATCGGTCAGCGAGCCCAAAAAATGTAAGTAAGTGACAACCCCCAGAATGTATGTGGGTCAGCAGTGAGTACATCCAAGTCTTTGACGAGAAAAGAACTTGATAAAGTAGAGACAGCTCGTATACATGTATACAGTGGGCTCGAACATTTCTCATTGTTTTTGCAATTTTCCCCCGGCATAGTATATAAAACCGACATGTGGTCATGTGGAATTGACTCTGTCATTTAACTCTTACAACGGCGACTGTATGCCGGGGAAGGTTTTGGAGAGGTTAACACGAGAGTTTTCTGTAAACTGTGCTGTACGAATACTGTTTCAGGTACGAACCAGTTACATGTAATGTCATGTCTAATAAGGACAACACACGAATTAAAGTCAACAAAACGTACTAGTTATCTCCCTTTGGACGATTGGTGGAGCTATTGAACGCGTGCCATATTTTTTTTGTTGTAAAAACAAAATGTATTATTTTCTATAATTAATCGTTTCATGTCAAAGACCACAGCCACCCAATGAAAACTCCGCCTTTTATCTTTTGAAAGATATTACTTGTTACAGTATATCATGCTACAGGAAAACCAAGCAAGTTTAATAAAACGACATGATAACGTCCAATTAAAAACGTGGAAGAATGAAATATGATTTTTTGTGTTCAGTAACTTATTAAATGCAACATATAAGATACATAAATTGGCAATTTGGATATCAAATAAGCTCAGAATCAACTCTGCTGGCCAAATTAGAAGAGTCTTGTATTCAAATTAAATACAAATACCATTTATTTTTATCAATATGACTTCAACCATTATTGCTACTGAGATGACTGCATACCATTCTCTGCCTTAAACATGCAAAGAAGCTTATATCTTCAACGTTGAAATACTTTCAAAACATGAAAGTTGGATGTGTTTTCAATCCCGTGATTCCAATGCAAGTTGTTTGTCAAATGGATGGTATGCTTTACTAAGCCTTCGTATTGTTTTGATTCCTATGCTAGATATCCACAAGACGGATATTAAAAAAAATTAAACCTAAGGGGATGACAAAAAACAAGCTAGGCTATCTAGCTTTTTGGTCGGATTGGTCGAGTGGTATAGCTCCGGCCTTCCACGTAGGCGGCCGGGGTTCGATCCCCGAAGTCGTCGTACGCATGGAATATCAGATAAAATGTTTTTCTCCTGCCCACACAACTCCAGGTGGAGTATACAATGGTCTGGGGTGGATGTTGCGGTATATGTGCTCTAGCATTCAAGTGAGGTGACACTATAAAAGATGCCGTTGGAAGCACGGTCCCAATACAAACAGAACACAATACATCTCCAGCACACATGCAGGCATACACACATAGGGCGATATTAGCCAGGTGGCATAGGACTAGTAGTTAGCGGCTGATAAGGCAGCTCCTGTGAATTCCTCAAAAATTGTATTGATTAATGTATATGCTAATTGAATTAATTGTATATCTATGTACTCTAAAGCGCGTTAGAGTGGCTTATATTAGCTAGATAGGGCGCTTTATCGAATGCTGTATATTTATTTATTTATATTTATCTGGTAGACATTCTTTTAACCTTACTGGCGTAAGGGAGGTAGCTCTCGCTGGCTTACGATACACATCATTGGTCTGAACACTGGGATTTTAATAGTGGACACTAGATGTCATATTTTACATTAAAAGCTTAAGCATTATGAAATGTCTCAAGTTTGACAGGAAAGCAAGACACCCGACCCGGTCACAATATTCCGATAACAACAGACAACATCAATGGAAAGAAGCCGGAATGATATCATGGACTCTTATTGTTCTTCAACGAGTGGTGGTTGATTATTTCATTAATATGTGCTAATCACGTTGAGTGTCAGAGAAAATCATATTTACATATTAAATTTTAAAATCTATTTATGGAGTTCAAATAATGATATAATATAACCAATCAGCTTCCGCTGTTTCTGTAGTAGATGTATGCATACTCCAATATACGTATAAACCATTATTAGACACCGAACAAGAATGCCAAGAAAACTGCAGAGAGGAGGTTTTCCTCTCTCGGCTACGGACTGGTCATACTTTTCTCACTCACGCTGATCTCATAAATAGGGGGAGATCAACCTACATGCCACGCATATGACTCTCCATTTGTTCAGATATTGGTATGTTTTATAAACCTACATTTTGTATATGACCCTTTTTCATAAGATACACGACGTTATATATGAAATCAATTTTGATTCTTCAAATGGTTACCCCGTACTAAAAGATTGTTCTGGCCCTAAATGATTCAAACAAACAACACGTCCAGAAAGGACGTAGTTACCCTCAACTAGTATATAGGGAGGTGGCGGCCATGCTTAATTTTTCACAATGTTCAGTTATAATTTATGAGCTCTATTTGACCTCTTATGTCCATTGTTGGACATTCGTGTCGATTGCCGTACCTACAGTGTTAAGTACATGCAATAAATGATGTCCTCTGTTTGACAACAGGTTACCGGAATAAAGGACGTTGGGAATGCTAAGGTGAAAAACTTGTCCAAATCCAACTCCAGTGCTGCGCAGGTCAGCCATAAATCCCGCTCGCAGAAGGTGCTCCAACTGAAGGCCAAACACTTCTCCGACAAGCCAGTGATTCGAACCAACGGCCAGGATGAAAGGCCGCTCACCACCAAACCACCGATTTTTCCAGGGGCGTGCTTCATGCCGTCAGAAAACCCGACAGGTAAAACTAGGTGATAATTTGCGAGATTTCAACTTTTGTTTGAAATCATAAAATGAGTAGATCGCGTCTTAAAAAATATCTTTAATGTTCAAATTCTTGAGATTACATCGATGGAAAAGCTACTGCAGAAATATGTTTTTGCGAACAAACAAATATGAAAAAATGACAAAATTGATCTGCATGTTCTTTATGACGTTGGTACGTTGATACCCTGACTGGTGTTTGTTGTTTATCTTAATACTGTTACTCAAACACCAGGCTATTCAACGCAATACATATTACCTGAACACACCTTTAAGAACGAAGATATAATCGAACAGACTTTCTCTTGTCTTATGAGTTATATGGCTCTTCCACTCAACATTTGAATCGGGTTTTTTTTCTCGATCCAATAACTCTTACCGACCCGAATAAAACTATATCATGTGAGCTCAATATTGCTGATTGTTATAATTTAGAAATGAAAACAATATGTGTGTAGTTTTATCGATAAAATTGGAATACGTAAATAGTTTCAAATACATTTTTCTGCCCACAATTTATGCAGTTGAAATTAAAAAAAAAAAGTTTCGATAAAACCCTTTCTCTTTTTTCATATACAGCGACTTTGCTGACCCAGATGAATGTTGGTACGAACAGACTGACGGACAGCCAAACAGATTATCTTGAATCTGTCCAAACCAAATCCACGCCAAGGCAGGAAAGAGGAGTTTCGATGGTAGATATAGGCTGTGGAGGGTTTTTCAACGCTGTAGTTCCAAACGACATTATCATGACGAAGCGCGCATTCCTCAACGAGTCACAGGTTCGTGAACGAAAGCAGACAGCATTGCGTAAATCTCAATCCATGGCGGTGCGTTCGGCCGCTAATGTTGAGCCGAGTGCCAAGCGGGTCAACAGTTCAACCATCGCTGTGGCACCAGCACCAGACAACAAGTCCCTTTGTTACCATGAGTCATTCAAACGCGGCGGAGATTTACTGCCAGTGTACGACAAGAGCGAGTTAGACGCTTGTAATGATCAAATCGATCTGTTGTTACCGGGATTTGTAAGTGAGTCGCCTCCTAGGATATCTAGTCAGTCAGGAGCAGTTCTTAATTTGCGGACTCCGAATTGCTGCAGTTGTTGTAGTATGTGTGATAGCCCTGGCGATTTCCGTTTTACGATCCCAGGGACAACGCCCACTTTAAACCGGAAGTCAACACGAACTGGAAGTAACAACGGGGTATTGAATGCACCGCATCAACAGTGCGAGTGTAAGCAGTGCCACGGTGAAAATTCTATGCCACCTAATAGGTTGGTGCAATATCGCCATGGCGACGTTATAAAAACTTTTGATTGGCTCACAGCAGACTCACAGGAAACTGCACTATGATTTGTTGAGAGTAATTGTGTTTATTGATATCATTTGTCTGTGTTGTGTTTGTGCAATACTCACGTTATGTGTTTTTAATACAGGTAAACTAAATGTCACTCAAAATGAAATGAGCTTGCATCTGGTAGACGCAAACGAATATTTCTTGCATTCTAGACCGAGATATCCGCTTTTTCGGCATAATGGAAAATCTTATCCGACCCACGAGTCTGGATCGCTTACACGCGAAGACTGGCGGGGGAATTACAGTGATCTTTCTTGGTCTAGCAATTGTTCGTGACGTTTTGGGGTCAGTCGGGTTCATTGACGTCATTAACAATTGCCTTCGAGCTTCATTTAGGGGATAGTACGTTGTTTTGAGTGGCTACACTGGCGATTAGAACATGAAATTCGGTTTGAACTCGAGACCAATAGGTCGAGAATTTAAACCAAATTTCATGTTCTAATCGCCGGAATAGACACGAAAAAGAACGTACTTTCCCCATACTAACACATCTAATACAAATTTTCTACGCATATATGTTTAGAAATATTGTATTTCCTTGTACAAAAGTACGTAATAAAATACTATGTGACCTGAACTGGCGACGTGTCACTCTGCAGTGGACTGACCAATCGGAAAGAAGCTTTCAAAAGTCGGTCGTTTGTCCGCGCCCATACTGGCAAGTGCTCGATCTGTATGTTGAGGAGGCGGAATATTTGGATTGTTCGTGAACGTCCTGTTACCGAAGTTGTATTGATATTGACCAAATACTCACATTTCTATGTAAGTATGCATAACAATCTGTGCTTATCGACAAAATTGGTGATTATTTGTATAGATTTATGAAGAGTTTTGTGTAAATTCATACGACACATGTGAAATGTTTCATTTGATTTCGGATCTAACTAGATGCCTTCACACGTATGGACCGAATGTTTCAGTAATAAATGCAGGTAAGAACAAGGAATGTATACCTTTTATTTTTTTAATTCTTTCATCGAATACCTTTCATCGGTTGTTTTTGTTCTGTTGCCTGCTAGCCTCATCAGCAAAATTTCGCTAAGAGGCGCGCTTGACGCCATAATGTTTTGGTTAGAAACAGGGAGTGGCTTAAGTGCGATGGGAGGAGCTTAACACGATTGATCAGGATGCTATCGCACTTTAGAACATAGTCCGTATCCAATCAAAACACGCGTTTCAAACGAATCGTGTTAGAATTAAGAATGTAGTTCATGTTGAATTTGTTTCAAGACCAACTCAATTCATTAACCCATGAAATCGACCAAAGCAAGATTCAATCCTTATATTTCAATCAACGCGTTTTTTCAATAATTGGAACTTGTGAAGTCCATTCTGATCGTTTGTCTAGGTTCTGGAACTTGTGCAAGTCTATGGTGTGACGTTATATATAAAATATATTCCGTTATTGAAGGACCATCATATAGACAATATCGATCTGGTTACCTTGGCGATCAGTTGATGATATATTTCATTTAATCATCGATACCAGACAATTCCCGGTGTCATGGCAACCTGCGAAACCCGGCTTTTTGAGGATGACAGCAATAAAGAAACTGAACTGAAACTAAGACGACCTGTGTTAATAACAAACGTTTCATTACGTGTGTACCATGTTGATGATAGCATACAGGTCCCCAGACACGACTTGTTGATGACATACATTTATTTAAAAAATATCATACACAAAATAATGACACCTACAGAATCAGACAGCCTGCTAGGTCTGTATACGTCATTTCTTGACACTTCATCAGGCATCGTTGGGATGTTTTCCTGTAATGACACTAACTCTAACAGCTTTGGCATTGACGATAAATGTGTGTATATGCTAGCATCTTAATTCAAATTATTTACAGCATCGAATTTCATTTGGCAGTAATGCTTTTGCCAAGGAATATTATTGTTATGTTTTTATAATTTATGTATTGTACGATTGTGAGATTTAATTTCAGATTTATCAAATAAATACAAAATGCATATTAAGTTACAATTAAAATTTGAGGTTTTTGAAGTAAAACCAATTTTACCAACTGTTGAACTTTAGTATGCATAAACAATACCTACACCCATCTTTGTAGCCCAAAAACAAAAGATTCAAATATCCCTACCTCCCTACCGTGACGTAACCCATATCTCGACGACAGAGCCACGGAGTGATCTCCCTTCCTCAAACCCCCTTTTCTGGAGCCTAAAGGCAGCCGGGATGAGGAGGCAAGGGGAGGAATACAGGGTGGGACTCCATAAAGTTATGGTAAGTATTACATCATGAAAATTGGTTTTACTTCAAAAACCTCAATTTCATTTCAGTAATAATTACCATAACTTTAGTATGCGAATTCGTCTTACCGTAGTGGAGGCTTCGAATCCAGGCAGACCAGGCTGACGGAACAAACTCGAGACATGCTCAAGGTAGGGAAAA